AACCTGTGAAGCGTGATTCCTTGTCATGTCAAGTGGCAGCTGCCCGTGCCTTGCAGACTTGTGCTCTGGACAGGCAAGTAAGTAGAACAGGAGAAGCAGAATTAGCACGAATCTCGCGACCTCGCAGTTGGTGCTTGCAGGAGAGTTGGAACAGCTGGCACAGCTGGCTGGCGCACAGCCCAAGGCAGGAAGTCCTGAGGGCGTTTTAAATCCCGCGTCCCATGCGTTGCCCTTTTCTTATTGTTGAGTTAAAGGAAGGCTACTTGAATGCTACTTGTGGCATTTTGCGTGTGATTGCAGCTACAGGACATAAAGCTGATTGTAGTTGCAGGACATAAAGACGTTGTTTACAACCAGGTCCAACCATGCCCCTGCCACTCAAAAGGCCGTACTTTTTCGTGGTTGACCGCCAAGTTGGCATCCACTGTTCGTGCAAAAGGCATGTCGCACGATGCTTTGTCACGGTTTCTGCTTGCTTTTGGCAATGATCTGGGACCATAAGAGGCCACTCATTCTCAAGAAGCATTGCGCGGCAACTATGGATGGCACTCAGCGCTTTCTCCCCAGCTACTGCCCCCAAATCACCTCCACCACGGAGCAAATGCGACACCCAGAGTGCATTTACCTTCTGCTTTGTGAATCGTGCAGCAGAGTCCTAGAAGAAAGAATGCGTTTCTGTTTGCAGACTGGCACGGCGGCCCAAGAAAGGCTGTGTCGTTTTGTTTCAGCTGGATCCCCGCTGAATGCCCACCGACAATGGTGACTTCAGGTTTTCCCCCAACACAGAAAGGCACTGGATGCAGCTGCGGGACCTCACTTGTCAGGCTCCTGCGTCACGCCCCTCAAGCTCTTGGCAGGTAGGATTATGAAGACAAAGCTTTGCCTGACTTAATCATTGGATGATTTAAGCTACCAACACCCCCCGGATAATTAGCACCTGCATGAATCCCATGGCTTACTGCTAAGACCGAAAGGGTTGTACCTTTATCTGTTGTTGTGTTATGTTCCGCTTCTACTTCTACCGACGTACTTCTTTCTTCTGACTCACTTCTCTCCCCCGCATGTGGTGATGACTTCCGAGATTAAAGCGTAACACAAAAGGAGATGATGGCAAAATACTTTGCTGAATTTGGTTTCCCTAACTAGGGGCCCAAGGGCGAAGCCAGAATTAAATAATGATTATCATCTTCCGCCAGACTGCGACCAAGCAGGATGGCGCTCGTAATCCAGTATGGGTTTGGGGGTATGCAGGCTTATGCTGCTGATATTGGCTTGTAAGGCACTATGTAGCAAAGCCCCCCGCACAAGTGTTACAACTGGAATGAAACCTCCATACTTTGAAAACCCATACTTGGTTGTCGACCGTAGTTAAGGGGTTTTGTGACGGCTGGGGGGAACAAGCTAGAAAAACCACTTCCCCAAGTTGCGAAACTTGTGCCATCTACCACCCGAGTGTTGGGGTTAACCGAGCCAAGTCCCAGACAGTGCTTGGCCTGGTGCAGGTCGTCGCAAAGTTCTCCAAGAGGCCGCTACCAAGTTTTGTGGGGTCGGGTCCCAAACGTGGAACCAACGACTGCAGGTTCCGGCTCTTGTTCTGCCAGGGTCACTGGCCAACTAGGAGCACCCTCAGGCCCCCGTAAAATTGGACTGGGAGGCTGGAAAGCAGAAGCATTCTGGCATCAGTGATGACACACTCATCATCGATTCCAAGAGAAGGAGAGTGTGTTTCCTGAACCCTACCCTCGCTCCAAAACGAAGGGAAGCGCACAGGCCATGTGCCCCCAAAATAATGCAGTCTTTCAAAAGTCATTGGGCGACGAAACGTGCCTGTTGACGGGGAGAGTGTCGAAAAGGCCTCTTAAGGAAACTTGGGTGGTGTCACAGAAAGTGTTAGATTACAGCGCAGCTACGTTCTAATGTGAAGGGTTTCGACTTGATTCTGTATTGCTGGAATCTTTCTTGAAGGTTGGATTTGAGTTTCCATTTGGCTTCACACTCTGAGGTAGGCAAAGGGAAAGTTGCCGAAGTTCCCTTCCGAAAGTGCAAGCACTTGATTTTAGGGCTCCCGGAATACAGTGATTGTTTCAGTTGAAGGTCCACCTTTCCAACACCTGGCATAGCAACCTACCCCTGAAACAACCATAGAAAAAGGGCTAGTACTTCCAGATTTGGGTTTGAACCGAAAGAGTTTGTAGATTGTACATGCAAGGTATCTTGCCAGCACGGAAACAACCTAAAACATTAAGCTTCTGACATCTAAGCACTGGAGGATGGGCCCTTGTCCTACGAATGTCTTGCAGATATCTACACAGCGGAGTTATGGCTTTTCTACACCACTGAGTTGAGCTTGTTGATCCCAGTTGGCATTAGAGGGTTATATAGCTAAGTTGGTATGGTATGGGTCGCATTAGAGGGTTATATAGCTAAGTTGGTATGGTATGTTTCGCACGCACCATGCGCCTCACATGTCAGCTTGGCTTGGGCTACGCAGCAACTGGCCTCTAGGTCATTCTCTTCACCCATTCTCGATGAGCTTCGTCTGTGATTTGCCGGCTTTGGTCAGGTTCTTTTTTCCCCTGCCGTGGCTCAAAATCTGCGTGTTGGGTTGCCCAGGCTCGTCCAGTGATGGAGATCTTCACAGCGGGCTGAACCGAAGGCGCCCGGCGCCAACCAACTCAATTCCTGGGCCTGTTTGAAGGGACAACCAATTGAACGTCCCGCATGGCTGTGCACACATGCCCACTTCTGCGAAATCAAGGAAATCCCCTTGCAGTGCTAAAGTACACATTTGAATCACCCCCCTTGCCTTGGGCTCACACAAAGGCTGAATTTCCACACACTGTTAGAACAACCAGAGCTTGGTCCCTCTCACTCTGTCACAGGCAGCTTAAAGCAAGACTGTCGCCCTTGTACCCTTTTCCCACGTGTTCAGTGGCACCCTTTTTGCACATTACCCACGAGAAGTGGTCAATCCCAAAAGGAGTGTTCGGTCACTGGGCAACGTTGGTGTTGTTTAGTGGGGCTGTGACCCATTACAAATCGAACAAACAGTGGAGCCCACTTGCCTTGACCCTGTTGCCTTTGCCCTTTTTGTTCAGTGTTCTCGGGGCCCACGAACCCCACTCAACACGGATTCAAACCCAAGCAGGGTCCGCGTATTTTCCTGCCACTGGGCAGCTGATTGCTCGCAACCATGTCACTGTAGAGATGGGATGCTTACCGCCGAAGGGTTGCGGCTTTACGACTCCACCCAAGTGTGTTGAGTGGGCGAACTCTACCCCGGCTTTGGCCGGTTTCTTCCTCTGAATCCGGGCCCAAAACGCGAATTGCCACACAACTTAGGTCATGGAGCCATTTCCCTCTGACCGACCCGGCAGCTCTCGCAGGTTCGCACGGGCGGCGCGGGGCTTGGTGCTGGGCCAACTCCACGTGGTCTTTCTCCGCTGGCGCCAAGTGTCCTCCAGGCAAAGCAGCCCGTGCGTTTTGGATTAGGCGGTGGCCTAGGTTGGAGCAGGCTACGTCGGCCTTTTTGCGCACTTTTGGCTGCCTCAACGGAAATCATGCATGCAACATGTGTAGGTTTCCTCTCGTATGCCAAGCTGGACAACCAAAAGGAGAGCAACGCACCATGTGAGCCAAAGGTCACAAAACTGGCAGGGATTCGCAGGTAAAACTCTAAGATGCTGTACCGCTTTGACTTCCTTGAGAGGCGGCACCCTGCTGAAAACAAACATTCAGCGAAGGCAAGCCCCCCAAGAGACCTTGCAACCCCCTCCAGCCTAAGGAGACTCGGGGGGGGGGGGGAGGCGGGGGCTTGGGCGAGATGGAACCTGAGGGCATCAAGAAAAGGCTCCAGAGGGGCTCCAGGTTTGTTTCTGACTTTGCGGGCAACACGCCAGGGGTACGTGTCCAATGGTTTGTTTCCCACTGCAAGTGGCAGGCGGGGCTGGTTAGCGGAGGTTGAGGGTGTTGCAGAGTGGTGCAATGCGGGAGGGCATCGTGAAGCCATGTTGCAACCTTCGTGGCTTAAAACAAGGGGAGCGCCCCCCCATCCAAAGTTCACATTCCATTCGTAAGTGATGTAAAATTTGGATGATAATATGCGGAGGGCGGGAGGGGGTCCTTTTTCACCCCCTTTTAATCGCAGCCGAAAAAGCCCGAGAGGCGCGGGGCCGTCCACTTCTTGTCTCACGCCTTGCGGCGAGTCTGCGCGGCTCGCACTGTGTTGGCTTCTGGGCTTCGGATTTCGGGTTTTTGATGGGATCAGAGCAATGGAAGCAAGCAAGTACAGCTGCAGGTAGGGAAAGGAGAAGCCGTGCATTTCTTGGCCATGGTGGCATTGGTTTACCGGCAGTATGACGATGTGTTTTAATGGACCTTGCACACGTCACGTTGTGATCTTCTGCACGCGTTGTGACCTTCGCTGGCAAAATCCTTCGTGGCGGATGGGGAATCCTTATGATTCCCACGGATTGTCTCCACATGGTGCGTCGCTTGGGCACTTGATGAATAACCCCACCAAGCACTGATCAGGCGTGCCCCTTTTCAATGTGTCCTTTTAGTGAAGTGTTGGCTGGGAGTCATCGTTTGCCTCGAGTCATGAAATGCAGATGGCTGATGGCAGCAAACGATCTTGCTTCTAGCTTCAACACTTCCTCTTTCAGGATAGCGCTCGAACGTTCAACCTGATGGGGGCCAAGATTAGTCAATTCCTCTCCGCTTAATTAGGGGGCATGTTTTTTTTAGAGGGCACCCCGAACACCCAACAAAACCCAACCAGGTTGATGAATCTGGGGTCAACATGACTCGAAATGGGCTGAAAATTCGAGGTTCCCAATATTCGGCACCACTCTCGATTCCACGGGCGTAGGCGTCAACCTACTTGGAGAAGCACAGAAGCTGTTGGAAAACCAAATCCTTATATGAACTGACTTAGTTTTTTTGTCCTGCCTATCTTGTGACGAGCTCACCGATTCGGGGGGTAAAACTAGCTCACAATGATGCAGGCCCGTTGCTATCCTAGGTTTTGGAATTCTCTGTCCATTATCCACCTCCATGATTGTAGAAAGGGTGACCTTTGTGGAAATGATTGCTTTGCTGCTAAGTGGCAAGGGCTATGGGATATGCTGCCATCGGTTGGAAAGAAAGCATCCCGCCATTTGGATGTTTCTCTAGCCCCTTCAGCTGGTTGGTTCCATTTTTGTTTCCCTCATCAAAAAGTGAACCCCCTCATGTTGAGACACCAGGTGCCAGGCGCAGCTGCTTCGCCCGCACGAACCGAGGAGCGCCGGAAGCTTGGGGCCCTGCACTGCTTCTCCGTGCACCGCGTGGCGAAGCTGGCCTGGGACCTGCACTGCACGCTGTGGGTTTGGGGGAAAACGGCTCAACCACGGGCTGCGACCGCCTCTTCTGGGGAGTGGGCGAATTTTACTTTAAAGGTCCCTAAATTTCCCAGTGCAGCCAGTTTAAGCATCACCTGCCAGTTTAAGCATCACTTGGATTAGGTGACGGCTTTTGGGGCTGGAGGACCGACCATGTTAGTGAGAGGGGCGAGTAATTGGTTCTTTTGTTGTTTACTTGTCCGAAAAAGGAAAGTAAAGGAGGATGAGGGGATTGCTTCAATCAAGGCTTGCGGGAATTTGGTATCCTATTGGGTCAGTTTGGTCGAACATGGATTAGATTTGCGGGACGCCTGGGGTGTCCCGTTGTTTTTGGCAGGCAATTTGCTGCGGTCGACAAAGTGCAATCCACAAGTGTGTGTGCTCTTCTCAATGTTCCGTTGCAGAGACGCACGCGAAATGCTTTGAATTGCATGCTAGTCAATCCTCCGTATTGGCCTTGGTTACAGTGAACATTCAAGCTTCCCATTTATAAACAACGCCCAGCGGTGCACTATCAGCCAAACAAAAACGAAGCAGGCCGTGCTTGCTTTTTCACGTCGGAATCGGAATCCCAAAGTCCCAGTTTCCCATGCCCAAGGGGGTGGGTGTCCCTGGAGGCCGCCCAAAGAATGGCGGAGCTGGAGGGTCAATTGGTGGCACGTGGCCGAGCACGAGAGGAGTCCTTGCACGGCGCCCTGGCGAAACCCGAAAGCGGTTGTGGGGGCCACTGGTTTTTAGAACGGCTGGGGCTGGGGATTGTTTTCTTTCCTTTTTTGAAGCTGTCCGAAAAGGTGTCCCTTTGAGGAGACAGACCCGAATTGGGTTAAGCGGTTTGCACGGAGATTGCCGTGCCCCAAGTGCAGCCAACAGCCCTAGAGGCCCTGGAAAAGGTAGATTCTTGGACACCGACCGAAAGAAAGAAGCCCTCTTCAGATGGTCCGACTCAGCGAGCCAGATGATACAGTTCGATGGCTTGGACTGCCCACAAACCACTGCAGTCAGGGAACAACTTGTGGTTGTTTGTTCCTCGATCTGTTATCTGCCTCTTTTGTTGGGTGGGGCTCGGGGGTGGACACTGTTTTTGCCAGGCACGGCCTCACTCGACAGGATTCGACTGAGGCATGGTCACCCACACCCAGCGCGCCTGGTCCACGCACCTGCTGCTGCGCTCTGCACGCGCTCCACTTCGCCCCGCCTTCCGCGGCTGGGCGGAGGCACGCGCCTCCGCCGCCTGGGAGGCGGCACGGCGGCGGCGCAGGCCGCGAGTCCGCGAGGTTCAGAGGTCGGCCACTTGCTGACCCGGTCACATGGCCTTGGCCAAATGACTTAGCTACGTGGAGGTGCCAACATGCAAAAGGCCTGCCATACCAATCCAGATGGTCAGTTTTTGTTTGTGACGGGGGCGGGGGTTTGGAGGAAGGTAGGGAATGAAGCGGACAAAACTAACCACTTGGTGATACCTCCCACGCTTGATGGGAACCCGGTGTGGATTTAGTGGGGACTAGGAGCTCTTTGTGTGGGAACCATGATCTGTACAGAGCACAACGTCTGCAAATCCAACGGGGAAGGAGGTCTCAAAATTACTGGTTAGGTACTCACTTTCTGAACGGGTTGGCCCAAACATCGAACTCTTTACAACCCGAATGATCGGCCCAAAGGCGCGTGCTTCGCATGGTTGGAGCTCGTTCCAATAGCTCAACTCAAAATCCGGGACCCGGGGACTCCCTGATTTTGGGGACCCGGTTCCTTGGGCTTCATTTTCAATTCCTTTAGGACACCCCCCGCAGATGGCATTTGTTTCATTTGGGGCCATCAGTGGGGTCAACTGGGTGCTGAACAGAAACCTAACTGTCATTTCTTTTGAAAACACATGGCCATGGGTCAAAATCCCGTACCCGCAGTGAACATCCGAATCCCCACTAAAATACTAAAACGGGCGGTGCACCGAAAACCCCCAAAAATGGGATCCCATTGGTTTTGACCCACAGCCACATCAACAGGAGATGGAGAATATCGATTCAGCCCCCACCCGGCCACTTCCAGCGCCAGCTTGGAGCTGCTCGCCCGCGACGCCAAACAGGAGCTGCTTCGGTGCCTCCTGCTCTGGCACTGGGTTCAGGACAGCCATGTGGATCTGGGTAAACCTGGACGAGCCGAAAGAATAGGAATGGGGTTGTGGGCCACTTGAAGCCAAATTAGGGCATGATCACAAGGGAACAATGAGTATTCCATGATTTGTATAGCGCCTTATGTTGACAACATCTCGGTGAAGACGGCACCTTTTTGCGCGCTTGCAAACGCACCGGACGAGGGAGGGTGTTAAACTTTGCTTCAGCCTGGTAGGTGATACCTCTCCGCACTCTCCTCCCATTCGCGCTTACAGATGAAACAGGTTGTTTAAGCATCCTTCAGCTGATTGAAGCAGTTGCTTGGCTAAAGCCCGGGGGAGGCGCCCTGCATCCTCCCGGAAGGAGCGCAGCCACGCGCGTCGGCAGCTCTCGGCACGGCTGAGTGGCGCCTTTGAGCGGCGAAGTTGGCGCCAGAAGCAGGCACCGGGTTGGGGTCTCCTCAAAAAGTAGTTTACATTTAACCTCAACTGGAACAAACAAATGCAAGCAGGGGGATAGGTGGACCAAAACCCGGGTGAGTTCTCGTCAAAGAAGGCGTCCCTGAGCTTAGGTCTGCCGGGTTCAGTTTGGGGATGTGGGCGGAGGTGCTGTGCCAGCTCCTCGCAGCTTGGCGGCGGCGACTCTGCCATCGTGGGTGGGTGGCTTGGCAGAGTCGGGTCCGTATCACCCCCTTCGACATCCACGTGGGTCTGTGTTTTGAAGGGGATCCCCAAAATTGTGATCTCTTCCTTTTTGCCTTCCAACTTCCAATTAAAGCCACAAAAACTGGGAACCCTCGAAAAAGACACACCCACATGGGGACCGGTTGACTCCTGGCATTCCATTTTGATTCCATTTGGATGCCCATGGCACTGGGGGACCTGAGGCGAAAGCACTGTATGGCAGACTTAGGCTCCTAAAAAGGGGGATGATGTATGGACGGGCGCCACGGTCCGCTTGGGACTCTTTGTTTGTTTGAAGGACTGAGCATGATCTCAACGGAGCACCCTTCAACGTGATAAGGTTGACATGGGTATCAGGCTAATCAAAAGTATCTTTCGTAATGCCAGCGAAGATTATGTTCACAGGCGTGCGCTCGACTTTGATATGGTTTGCCCACCATAGGCTTCCAACCTCCCCCACTTCACGATTTCCCGAGGCGCGAACATCGCATTGTTCAAGGCGTTTTGCGCCGGAAACAAGGGGGAGGGTGCTTAGGTTATTTACCCTCCTGCCCACGTTGCCATGGAACCCACCAGAGGCTCCATTTTAAAGGAATATGATCTTCCACCCTGAAACGTCAGGTTACTTCCATTTGCTCTAAAATACGTGTTATTTTCCCTTGTTGACATTGGTGTCAAAGGACACTTGTCACTACTAGACTTTTTTCCAAGGGGGCTTAAGCAAATGGAAGGTTACATATGGCAACGTGGACAGGGTGTTGGTTGTTTTCGTGCTGAGCCTAAGCCCACCTGAGGTTTCGGTCCTTGGGCGGGCAAGGCCGCTCAACCAGGCCTGGTTTTGGGCCTGGCGCCTGGCGTCCCGGCGTGCCGCGCGGCGGCAAGCTGGCGGCCTGCTGGCTTTTCAGCGCTCCTTGGGATCAAAGTCTAGGTGAATTGTGCGTGCCTTTGTGGAGGGTACCCTTTTTGGGTTTGGTTTAAGGGGAAACCAGAAGGAAAGCCGACCAATTGGCGGGGGGGTCCCTAGTGAACACGGCAGCAACGCAAGCATGGCGAGCAGTACATACCAGTGGGAAAATGAGCAGAGGGAACCAGACACAAACCATTGACTTTCTGCGGAGTCTGTTTGACCAACCCAGTGGAACTAGACAGGTTGATTTGCCCCATTTTCAACCGGCTGCTCGCCGGTTGGGTCTTAGCCTTAACTTATTGTTTCTTTCGTGATATTTGGTACGTTCTAGCTCCCAGGCGCTGATTCTTGTTGCTCGGGCAAACTCGGGCAAACTCGGGATGGCCCCTCAGCGCGCAGGCCACAGCTTACGCGGCGCCTGGCTGACCTGGCGCTGGCGCATCCAATTGGCGCGGTCCGTGCGCCACTTGGCCCGCGGCCTCCCGCGCGAGGCGAGCGCCGCGAGCTTCTTGCTGGCCTGGCGAATGGATGCGAGGCGGGGTTGAGGTCCAGGGATAGAACTCAAGTCCAAGGGTAAGCCCAAGTTTATTCCACTCGAAACCCGTGACTTCCCTCAGCATAGCTTTCAGGAAGGTATTGTTGAGCAAGTTTGGAAAGTCTTCCCTTCGGAGTGACCAAGTACAGTCGGATTCCCTAAAAGTTACAGGTGCACCAACCGTATCCAACAACAAAAGCAGGTAGCATATTGCAGAAAAAGAGTTGCCGGTGGGGTTATTTTCTTTTCATCAGCATTTTAGCTTGCTTTTCCCTTCGCAACTCTTGTGCGGCGGCTGGCTGTATCCCTACATTCCCCTCAAGCCTGGTCAAGCGTTGTTTTTGGGCAAGTTTGTGTGATGAGTTTCATCTTGGTGAGGTGGTCTTTGAGGGGTAAGTTTGCGGCGACTTACATACAATACTCAGACCTCCAGTGGAACCCTTTTTGTTCCGGTCTCCTGGATTCCCTGTACTCAACACAGGTGCGCCTTTTTCCCATGGCCACTGGAGGTCTGCAAGAGTATTTCTGGCATCCACCGCGCCCAGGTCTACCGCTCGGCTTCGGCACTGGCAAAGCACTTCCCGATACCTTGCGGAGGGGCGCGAGGAGTGTCGACGCCGGGGGGTGCTGCTGGCCTGCATTGCGAGGCCCTCAGAGGGGGATTCATACTGCTTGTGTTGTATCGAGCTGGGCTAGAAGCTCACCGTGATGCGCAGTCCTTTGGGTTTCGATGTTCCAGGCTTGGAGCTATTGTCAAATGGCATGATGTTCAGGTAGGGCTGTGAATGGGCAATCCCTAATATTCCCTAATACAAGTGCTTCAGTGGAACCATGATGCGCTCCTTTGTGGTTGCTGGGTTTGCCACTGCTCCCTTTTCCTGCGGGCGTCACTAAGCCACTGAGTAAGTCTTCGGGGTTGCAAAGGATTTGGTGACCATTGCAGTGGCTTTCCACTATGGATGGTGGATTGCGAGCAATGTGTTGGCTTTCAACGACCCAAGGAAAGGGTACCAACTTCCAATGTGACAACTATCATTTGGTACCCTTTTCACCCCACCCTGCAAAATTGGAGCGGCGGGGGGTGGGGGGCGATTCCATTTCTCCCCGTGGGGTGGGGAGTCTGACACGCAAAGCAAACACGGAACCTGACTGCGGTTTTACCGGCTGATCAAGAAGGCTACAATTCCAAAGCATAAACAATAAGATTGCAGACAGCAAAGGCTTGGGCTCGGTTACCCAAGGCAGCAGGGAAGTACATTTCATTGCTCAGCTGTCAACTCCTGTGTCAACTAGTTGGCCTTTGGTGCTGGCATCCTTTCCATCAAGCTGCGGGCACGATTTGGAATGGGACATCCGCAAGCCGATGGGGATTTCAGCAGATGTCACATGGACAACTGTATTTGTTATGTACATGCATTTGATTAAAGGGAAGTAGGCATGACTGGTAAACTGAACTTTCAAGTGGTTGTTTCTTTAGTGAGAGCTGGCTTGGTACTGAAGGACACGTTTCGGGTCTTGCAACTACTGACCTCCAAGGAAACATGTTCCGCTTGGCACTCTGGAGCCCGAAGCCATACGAAACGACTGAACGCCACCATCGTCACAGCCGGGGCAACCGGGTGCTGCAGAGGGTCATGCTCAAAAACACAAAGACAAGCACATGTTTCGCAGATGTGTTTTGGAACATGTCCGGCAAGCAAGTTTCAATCAAGCGCAGCTGCACCCTGCTCAACTGCTAAATCAACTTCAACCCCGCTCAGCAGACCAAGACAACATAATTACAGTGTGTTGTTTAGCTGTCTTTCTTTCTTTCTTTCTTTCTTTCTTTCTTTCTTTCTTTCGTTCTTTCCTTTTATTTTGGGGGGGGGGGAAGATGGCAGAGACAAGGCAACCCCTGGTGAAATGCACGCTGGCTTTGAGATCGAAATGCAAGCCTTGAACCATCCCTTTTTCGAAGCACGCTCGACAAGTGTGAGTGAATTTGCTTAAAGACACTGCAAAAACGCACGTGGCAGCAAATGTGCACCCGCTGCAGCTGTGAATGGAAACCAGAGGGAAACCACAATATTTGTTGGGGGGCTTCCTCGGTTTGACTTTTTTCTGGTTTGGCGATTGTTCGTCAAGGTTCCAAAAGGTCCGCCTTTGATTTTCCAGTCCTTTGAGCAAGCGGGACAAGTCTGTAAGATCACAGGGCGCTTGCAACAATCGGGCCATATGGGGCCCCCCATTTCCCTTGAACTCCCCCTCGCGCGAGCCGGCCGAGTCCGCCGAAATGGGCTTAGGCCGCGTGGCGCCTTCGCCTGGCCCAACATCTCCGCCAGGTGGAGCTGCAGCGCGCGAACGCTTCGCGGGTGCTAAGCGCCTGGCGACTCGGCGGGACCTGGGGCAGGTCCAACGCCGCAAGTTGCAAAATGGCGAAGGTGGACCCCATATTCATCCACCCCGGTTTATTCATATAGGGGAGAATTGGGCGGTATCCATGGGTTTAGTGGGAATCATCAATTTTGGGGTTAACCTCGTTTGGCAACGGATCCCTGGACTTTGACTAGTGCGTTTTCCGAATTGGACCTACAACAAGTGAAACTGTTTGACTATTTGCTCACTTCCTGAGTTTTTAGTCACTCTTGGGAAGACCGCTTTAGTGGTAAATAAAACGTTCAGGATGTGTTTGGCCAATACACTCTGGTTGGATGCCGTTCTTTCCACAAAGAGTGAAACTTGGGAAGGAGTTGAGCCATCTAGATGTTACATTGCAATCCCAGAAGCCCTCTTTCTTGTTGTAGTTTACGTTGAGATTCCCAGGGTTGTCGGCATTTCGCGCAAGTCTATGCAAACCTGGGATCTCTCTTCAGTTGTACATGTTGAGGTCTTTTAAATGCGGACCAGACACATTCTCGCAGAAGCAGGGCTTTGTTCAGCACTTCCTGTGACTAGATGAATTCAGGCTGGACATCTCCCAGCCTAGCATGATGTTAGAACTTAGGACTCCTCCAGATTCACTCGGGCCCCAGACTATTCAAGCCTTTGCCAGGCTCGTACCATGTGTGCGTCGTCTTTTGTGCGTTGTTTCTTTTCTGTGGGGGGAATGGGGTATTTTGATGGTACAGTCGTTGTTTTATTTCCAAGGGAGGATGTCTCTATGACTGAGCTGAAGAAGGAGGTTTGCTTTGTGAAGTGCCCACCGTCCTAGGAGAGCCCAGCGGCAGCCGTCAAGCTAGATGTGAGATTCGTGCCCCGAACTGGATGAACCGCTTTGAGCAAGAAAAAGGCCAGGCAGGAATCGTCTCTTGATGTCTTCTGAAAAGCTTTGTTTACGTTTCCATGTTAATTTTGTGAGGAGTTGATCAACTCAGTCCAAAGCTGACATTGCCAAGGCATGCAGCCGCACAGTCCCGCCGCCTTGCCCGGGAGCGCACTGCTGAGCGAGAGGCCTGGTTGAAGCATTGAGAAGAGCAGGTTTTGCCTTTTAACCCCCTGTTTGGGTGGATCTTTTCTGCCATTTTTTTGGTGAGCTCACCTGCGGGTAAGGCGAACTCACAATCAAGGAAGTCCCTTACTTGGGGATTTCAGGTTTTTGAACCATTGTAAAAAGAACGGTGCTTTTGGCATGATTTTGCATTTCAAGATTGCCCTACCGGAATCTAAAGCATGAGCTGAGGTAGCTGGGGTGCCACAGGGAGTCCCAAAGAATCAAGAAAGGTGTCAACACAAGGAGTCAACTGACCCAGGGGGGAAGAAACAATCCGAGCCCCAATCATCAATCAACCAAGGTGTCAACAATAGGAATCACCGGACCCGTGGAAAAAAGGAAGGAATTTGCGCCTAGCACTTGGCAGATCCTTGTTGCCCAGCTCGGGCGGCTTTCTGCCCACCGGCGTCGCTGGGCGCGCCGGGCGCTGAGCTGCTGGCGCTCAGCGGCCCAGCGGTGGCCCGGCGGCAGCAGGGGCCACGGGTGAAACACGGGCCCTTTTTGGGGACACGCATGGCAACACCTTCGTTTGGCTGGATTGTTTTAATGTATACATATATTATTACTTCTTTTTTTTTGGGGGGGGTCCCTTGAAGCAGTTTCATCCCAGGACTTCTCAAAGTTGTCTCTCTGTTTTTTTTTCCTTGGGGGGGGGGTCTGTTTAAATTACAATTTACAGGGTAGTTCTGAGGACACCCCTTTCATGAACCCAGGGTGGGGAAGCCATGAACAAAGTCGTGGGCGTCGGGTTGCCATGTTTACAAGAATTGCACCTGAATCTCAACTGATTGCTTTGCTTTGGGCAAAAGCTGAGGAGCTTTCTCAGCCAACTGCTGGAAGGTTGTGGGATCCAGGGCTTCCACTTGCGGGATACCACGGAACTTCTCCCTTGAAGTAGGGAATGGGTCATGGGGACTACTAGGGGCATCACAAGTGGGTAATTCCCACCAGCCAGGCCGGTCTTGAAACGCATGATTCCGCATGATTGTTTCTTCAAACAAATTCCCAACGAACTTGCCTCGATTGTTTTGGCGAGGGCCTGGGGACTTGTGGGGTTTCACTCGGCGTTCAGCGCCAGGTTTCGCGCAGCGACCGCCCGCCGCCGCTCACGTCTCCTGCGGTGCGCCTTCCACGCGCTGCGAGGGGTGCACGCCCTGGGCGCCTTGAAAATCAGTCGGGCGGGTAGGGGGGGTGGGGGGCGGGGGGTGGGGGCGGCGTGTCAATGGTGGCCCCAAATCCCCAGAGATGGGTGGTCTCTTTTTGTTTTTCCAGGGAGTATCACCTCCTAACTAGGGCCCAACTGGGGGTTAGTATGTAGGTTTATCACCCGATTCATTGGTTCGGGCAAGTATTCCTTTAGCTTTTACTTGGAAGCAAGCCACGGGAAAGGGTTGACAGAATGGCAAGCCGTTTGCGGGTTCCTGACAGCATGCCAAGGCTGCGCGAAATGTTACCAGGGCCCAAAGCCCCAACCTGGCTTTCTGTTCAAAGAACTGGCTCGTTTGGTTGCAGTGATGTCGCTCCGAGCCATCCCCCCTCACATGAAAGAAAGACGCAGAACTTGCCAGAGGTGGAAGGAAGGTGGTACTGTGGATGGACGAAATCCTGCACCACTTAGAGACCATGGGAAATAATTGTTCGTTTCTATTTACAGGGGAATCATGGTTCCAGGGTTTCTTAGGTGGTGCAGCATTTCGTCCATCCACAGTACTGCACGGGGCCTTGTACAGGTTTGGGCTGTGTAGCTAACCCCGAACATGTTTGCTTCGGTGCAGGGCATCTGGCATGCGCCCAACTAAGAATCGAGCATGTTGGCCGAATTCAGCAACGTTAGCCTGATTCAGGTGTTTGCCAAGGTTGTTGTGTCTTGGGTTTGTTCCGGTTCATTCCAACTTAGAAGTTTTGGAGCTCAAGTGCCACACACTGCTCTGAGACGTAGTTCATCTTCAGTACCGAAGGCGACGTGCTTCAATGACATCGTAACCTTACAAAGGCTCCGAAGCCGAAATCCCATGAATGTCGATTCTTTGACCATCCATATTGAGGTTGGCGAGGATCTGCGGCTTTGTTTGAGTATTATGCCGGTAGTTCCAGTGAAATAGGGAAACACTTCAAGCAGGGGCCCGGAGATCCTGATACTAATTTGTTGAAAGCTTAATTATTTTTATCATGTAGGTTTGGAGGAGGGTTCAGTGTCAGAATCCTGTGTATTGTCCGCAATTTAATTGTGGTTTGCTTTGGTGGTTCGGAGTTTACCAAAGCAACTAAATCAGACCAATCAGGGGAAGGTGTTTTTGTGTTTGATGGCTTGCCCGTTGCCTGTGTGTGATCACGAGGGCCTTCTTGCACACCTCTCAAGCTATCACGCTGCCAACAACTCTTAGCTCAACTTGACATCACTTCAACCGTCTCTACTCGTCTTTTTCCTCACCCTTGAACTGCTTTGTGAGGGGGAACGCGATCATCAACTGAGGGAATCAGTGACAATTCAGCGACAGTGGGTGCACAGATCAGCCTGGTTCCTACAAAGCAAATGAGTAAAGTGTGCAAGACAAGGGGGCTGAGCACGCCCCTTGTACCTCAACGGCAAGCCACCAGCCGCGCACCCCACGCTCACTTCCCGAACTCAGCTCAACACAATTCATGACGCAATTGCTCGAAATCCCCAGATTTGGTGCTCGCTGGGGCTCTGTCCAGTTCTGCTGGGGGTGGGAAGCTCAGTCTTGGTGTGCTATCCGATCGTTAGGCCTTTGGGCACGCGAGCGCGAGACCGCGCGGAAGCAGTACCTGTCTCGCCTCAGCTCAGCTCGCTTCCAGCCCCTTGTGCCGAAGCCAAGTGGGACGAGGTCGATACATCGCGGTTTGAACCAGGAATTATTGCAAAGCCCCAGCCACGGTTGACCTGCCCATCCTCCGGAGTTAGGCCCTACTTTGTAAACTTGCCCGCACCAAGATGTCCAGAGGGTTAGGAGCGTTAGCTACAAAGAGAAATTGCCTCCGTTTCCGGAATGGTATTGTTTCAGGAGGCTTGGGGGGGTGCGGAGCTTTAGCTGAGTTTTGCAACGCATTGAGAATTTGATGGCCCGACAAAGGTGCAGAGCCAAGCACAGCCTTGCGGCTTGTTGAAGTGGTTCATTCAGACCCCTGGGCTGGTCAATGGCAATGAGTCCTTTCGTCAGGTAGCGAAATGGAACCTTCCACTGGTTTCCCACAAGTTGGATCAGGATTGGCCCACCCATTCAACAGGCCCTGAAAGAGCCAAGGCACGCGGCCGCTCTCTTCCACGCCTGGCACCTCAGAAGCCTGCGCCGGCGTGTCCTGCGCCTGCCGCACGGCTTCCAGCGCCAGGCACGGAAAAAAGGAGAGTTTCCAGGGACGGGCGGATTCGCGTGACGCAGGACGGTCCAAGCCTATGGGCTCATCTTGATTTACAGGATGTCGTTGGGCGGGTGGGTGTCAAAGCTGCCCAAAATGCAAAAATGCCGTCCGTGAGGTGCAAACGACTTGCAGACGGTGTTTGTGTCGCAAGAACCGTCCCCTCTTCAATGGTTTCAAGCTGTCTCTGGTGCAGAGCTACGTTGATGAAGTGCTAGGAGACACCCAGACCGCATACCTGAAAGGGAGCGTTTCCCCCCACAAGGAACCCCTGTCAAGCGCGGTTGCCTAATATCGCGTTTTCCTGCCCAAGTTGTCGCGGAATTCCCGTGGGCAATCGCACTAAGTGGTGACAAGGGGGCAAGCAAACCTCGCATTGCTTGCAGCAGTGCCCTGTGAAGTTGTATTTGCCCAACTGGTCATACACCTTGCGTTATTTCAAAATAAATGGCTAATGCGCACCTCGGATGTGTGTGTGTGTGTTTGTTACATTGTAGGAAAGCAACTTGTGAGTCCCTAATCAACTGATGCAAACTTCCTGGTAAGAGCAGTCTGACAAACACTCGGCTGTCGATCCAATTCTCAAAATGCAGAATCATGATTCTTTGGCTGGGCCAGCGCTGGATGTCACCTGCGCAGCAAAGCTGCGTGGTTGCTCTCAGCTGAGCTTCCATGATGAAGGACCTTTTGCGTATTCCCTGTTCCAGGTCGGTGAATCTCAGCAAGTGGTACGGAAGGTTGAAGGGTGGCCAGTTTTAAACTACATGATTATTGGAGGATGTTTGGCCTGCCCAAAAGTGTAGATCTCCTCTTGGTATGCCAAGCTGCTCCCACAGTCTACAAAGACCCCTCCCTGAAGGATTGCAACAACTTTCTGGGCAGGTTTAAGATCCAACCTGGGCAAGCTAAAGCAACCGGGCAAAAACAAAACACGACCTCGCCCATGAAGGCTTCTTTCCTGGGAGATGCTTAGTGTAGCTGACCCAGATCCATGTGGCAGCTTGGCGTGAGCCAGGGTCTCACCACTGCGGTGCTGACATGCTGGCGCAGCCACACCAGGCTTCGGCACAGCGCTGCGAGGCTCGAGGTTTTGTGCTGAGGTGCTTGAGGCGGCGGCCAGGAAAAAAGGAGCACCGAACAAAAACACACGTGGAGACTGCAAGAGGCCCTTCTGGGGCAAGTTTCCCTTCAGAGAGAGGCCTTTTTTAAGGTTCCCCGTTTGATTTTGACAGAGGAGGTAGGTTAAACCCATGGCAATGAGTGAACAAGCCCCTGCTGTCCCGTTTATAGTCGGGATATGCAGGACGAATATGCAAGGAGGACCCTCCCCATCGCCCAGGGTTTTCAGGTCCACTTCTCTACCATGGAGCCTTTTTTGCGTCATAAAGTACGGGAAAACAAGCTCTTCGGCCTGGCCTCACTCCCCGAGCTTCTGGAATTGAACAACTTTTTGGAACGATCATCCTAGTAGAAAATCGCAAGTTTGGGCCTTTTTTGGCCAATCCACGGAGGTGAGTCACCCGGGTTTCACAGCGCAGTGAGTCACCCGGGTTTCACAGAACCCCTATAGAAACCTCACGCCAGGCGCCCCTTCCCCCGCGACTTCGCCGCGCTGGTGCTGCGCCTCTGGCGCCGCACCGCCGGCCGGCTCGCGCGGCGGCTTGAGGCCAAGGGATTGGCAGTTGCCATGTTCATGGACGAAATCCATTTCGCACCACCTAAGAATCTCCGGAATGATTTTGTTCCCCACATCTTTGTGTGGGGTTCTTACTTTTACCGCTGCGCGCCCGACTCCCGCCGCCCCGTCGCTCTCACTCACTCACACACACTGACTCACACACACTCACTCACACACACTGACTCACACACACTCACTCACACACACTCACTCACTCGCCGTCGCTCTCACTCACTCACACACACTCACTCACACACACTCACTCACTCACCCGCACAAAATCACACCCGCTCACACACACTCACTCACACACACTCACTCACACACACTCACGCACACACACCCGCTCACACACACCCGCTCACACACACACACTCACACACACTCACTCACACACACTCACTCACACACACACACACACACACACACACTCACTCACACACACTCACTCACCCACACTCACGCACACACACTCACTCACACACACCCGCTCACACACACACAGACACACACACTCACTCACACACACTCACTCACACACACACTCACTCACACACACTCACTCACTCACACTCACTCACACACACTCACTCACACACACTCACTCACACACACTCACTCACACACACACTCACTCATGGAAATGCAAGTGCTGCGTTTGTTTGGCAGGGGCAGCATTTCGGTACTTCGTGCACCTGGGCTTGCGTTTGCGTGGCAGGGGCAGCGTTTGGGAGCTGTCTAAAGGGCTGGGATGTTGTGGCGCGCGCGGCTGTGGGCTCCCATCTCGCGTGGCAGGCGCAGCACTTTGGACAGGCAAGTGCTGAAATCGTGGCAGGCGCAGTACTTCGTGCACCTGGGCTTGCGTTTGCGTGGCAGGGGCAGCATTTGGGAGCTGTTTAAAGGGCTGGGGTGTTGTCGCGCGCGCGGCTGTGGGCCCCCATCTCGGCAGGCGCAGGACTTTGGAGATGCAAGTGCTGAAATCGTGGCAGGCGCAGTACTTCGTGGACCTGGGCTTGCGTTGGCGTGGCAGGGGCAGCGTTTGGGCGCTGTTTAAAGGGCTGGGGTGTTGTCGCGCGCGCGGCTGTGGGCTCCCATCTCGCGTGGCAGGCGCAGCACTTTGGACAGGCAAGTGCTGAAATTGTGGCAGGCGCAGTACTTCGTGCACCCGGGCCTGCGTTTGTGTGCCAGGGGCAGCATTTGGGAGCTGTTTAAACTGGGGTGTTGTCGCGCGCGCGGCTGTGGGCCCCGATCTCGCGTGGCAGGCGCAGCACTTTGGAGATGCAAGTGCTGAAGTCGTGGCGGGCGCAGTACTTCGCGCACCTGGGCTTGCGTTTGCGTGGCAGGGGCAGCATTTGGGAGCTGTCTAAAGGGCTGGGGTGTTGTCGCGCGCGCGGCTGTGGGCCCCCATCTCCCGTGGCAGGCACAGCGCTTTGGAGGTGCAAGTGCTGAAATCGTGGCAGGCGCAGTACTTCGTGTACCTGGGCTTGCGTTTGCGTGGCAGGGGCGGCATTTGGGAGCTGTCTAAAGGGCTGGGGTGTTGTCGCGCGCGCGGCTGTGGCCCCCCATCTTCAGGGTGGCCACGGTTAGGTTCGGTTCGGTTCGGTTTCTGAAACCTTTTGAAAACCTTTCTCCGGTGCCGGTTTGCACGGTTAGTGCAGAAAAGTAAGATAAGGCTCTAGGTAACTCAGTCTGCTTTCGCCCACACTTCGCCAACTTCCACATCTCTGGCATCGCCATCCATCTGACATCGCCATTCCACACCACACACACAGACACAATTACACACACAAACGCAAACAAACAAACAAACAAACAAGCAAGCAAGCAAGCAAGCAAGCAAACAAACAAACAAACAAACAAACTCACAAACACAAAAACAAACAAACGAACCAAGCCACTGACTGATGCTGAGCATGTTGTTCCGCGCACGTGGCCTTGGGAAGCATCTCAGAAGTCAAAGCTCAAAAGCGAAAAATAACAAGTCACTGACCGCTGATGGGTCACTTTTTTTGCTTGCCAAATTTCAGCGGTGTTTCGTGTGTTTCGAGCACTGCGGAAGCAAAAATCAGAACCAGAAGCGGCCAATAATGCGGGTTTGTTGCCTTGACACGTGCAGCAAAGGGGCCTCAGCTGCGGTGGCCTGCTAAGCGTGCCAAAAGTTCTGGCAATCAGGCTGGTGGGGCGTTGGGGAACGGCAGGGCAGGCCCAGGGCAAGGCGGCAAGGCGCCGGGAGAGCAAGCCCTTACAGTGACAGCGGGCAACTCAGTTTTCCTCCCGTTCGGCCCGCGAGAAACTGTTCCAATCCAAGCCGGGCTGCGCAAAAAAAACAACCCACTGACCGTCAGTAAGTTGTTTTTTTTGGCGCAGCCAGGCTGCAACAGGGTGCTCGGGCAATCCTGCGGGAGCAGGGGGAGTTGGTGAGACAGGTCAGGTTGATGCTCGGACATGTAGCTATTCCGAGAGTCCAGGCAAAGTTTGCGAAATCCCCTTGCTGCCGCTTTGGAACGGGATCCCGTGGCGGTGCTGTTGGCGATGCTGTCTGCGCCAAAGCCGTCACTGACCGCTCGTGGGCCGTTTTTTTTGCTTGCCAAATTTCAGCGGTGTTTCGTGTGTTGCGAGCACTGCGGAAGCAATTAAAGGACCGGATATCCCCACATGCTATGTTTTTCCCAAGGATGTGAGTTCAAATGTCCACACACATGTACCGTGCGCCCCTTGTATGGATGCGATTACAGAGCAGGTCTAGCGCGCTTTTTTCATCGCAGGCGTTGCAAACCTACTGCAGCCCGAGCCGCTAATCAACAAAACAAAGCAAGTTCGAGACATTCTCGAACTTAGTCCATCTTGTTAGATTATTGGCTGCGCCGCACGTGCATCTCAGGAGGTCATCTTGCAGCTCAGCATCGGAGAAGATCTGGACACTTTCCCAAAGAGAAATAGCACTGTGGTATCCGTTGGACGATGAAGTCAAGCTTTTTCAGTCAGATGTCCATCTCAAGGCTTCTCCGCGGGGAACCTGCAGGGCCTGCCTTCCTGAAAGGTTCCAATGAAGGTGCGCGCTGCGGCTGGAATGTCGACAGAACGCGGACCGCTCCGCCTACATTGTGAATCCATCAGCAGCGCCGAGGGCTTGGCAGGGCAGCCGTGGAGCAGCTTATCCAACTTGAAGAAGATGCCCCATGGCTGGCCTTGGATGTTCAAACTCATGGCTGTGAAACAACAAGGCAGTTGGAGACAACCCCAAGAAGCTTGAGCCGTGCGCAAGTGGTTGTGCTGCAAGCTTGTGGCAGGGCTCATGAACATCGCGCAAGCAATTGCGCGCGACAACATCCTGTCCCTCTAGACAGCTGCCGAATGCTACCCCTGCCACACAAACACACACCCAGATGCACAGAATGCTGCGCCTGCCACGACTTCGGCAACGGCATCGCCAAAGTGCTGCGCCTGCCACGATTTCGCAGTGCTGCGCCTGCCACGATTTCGCACGCCCCCCGCCGCGCGCGCGACAACATCCTGTCCCTCTAGACAGCTGCCGAATGCTACCCCTGCCACACAAACACACACCCAGATGCACAGAATGCTGCGCCTGCCACGACTTCGGCAACGGCATCGCCAAAGTGCTGCGCCTGCCACGATTTCGCACGCCCCCCGCCGCGCGCGCGCCAACATCCTGTCCCTTTAGACAGCCGCAAATTTCTGCCCCTGCCACACAAACACACACCCAGATGCACAGAATGCTGCGGCTGCCACGACTTCGGCAATGGCATCTCCAAAGTGCTGCGCCTGCCACGATTTCGCACGCCCCCCGCCGCGCGCGCGACAACATCCTGTCCCTTTAGACAGCTGCCGAATGCTGCGCCTGCCACGATTTCGCACGCCCCCTGCGCGCGCGCGACAACATCCTGTCCTTTTAGACAGCTGCCAAATGCTGCCCCTGCCAGACAAACACACCCCCAGATGCACAGAATGCTGCGGCCTGCCACGACTTCGGCAATGGCATCGCCAAAGTGCTGCGCCTGCCACGATTTCGCACGCCCCCCGCCGCGCGCGCGACAACATCCTGTCCCGTTAGACAGCTGCCGAATGCTGCGCCTGCCACGATTTCGCACGCCCCCCGCCGCGCGCGCGACAACATCCTGTCCTTTTAGACAGCTGCCAAATGCTGCCCCTGCCACACAAACACACACCCAGATGCACAGAATGCTGCGCCTGCCACGACTTCGGCAATGGCATCGCCAAAGTGCTGCGCCTGCCACGATTTCGCACGCCCCCCGCCGCGCGCGCGACAACATCCTGTCCCGTTAGACAGCTGCCGAACGCTGCGCCTGCCACGATTTCGCACGCCCCCCGCCGCGCGCGCGACAACATCCTGTCCTTTTAGACAGCTGCCAAATGCTGCCCCTGCCACACAAACACACACCCAGATGCACAGAATGCTGCGCCTGCCACGACTTCGGCAATGGCATCGCCAAAGTGCTGCGCCTGCCACGATTTGCTGCGCCTGCCACGATTTCGCACGCCCCCCGCCGCGCGCGCGACAACATCCTGTCCCGTTTAGACAGCTGCCGAACGCTGCGCCTGCCACGATTTCGCACGCCCCCCGCCGCGCGCGCGACAACATCCTGTCCTTTTAGACAGCTGCCGAATGCGCCCCTGCCACACAAACACACACCCAGATGCACAGAATGCTGCGCCTGCCACGACTTCGGCAATGGCATCGCCAAAGTGCTGCGCCTGCCACGATTTCGCACGCCCCCCGCCGCGTGCGCGACAACATCCTGTCTCTTGCGCGACAACATCCAGTCCCTTTACACGGTGTGAGTGAAAGCTGAGTGTGAGTGAGTCAGCGAGTGTGAGTGAGTGAGTGAGCGAGTGAGTGAGTGAGTGAGTGAATGAGAGTGAGTGAATGAGAGTGAGTGTGAGTGAGTGAGTGTGAGTGAGCGTGAGTGAGTGAGTGAGTGAGTGTGAGTGAGTGTGAGTGAGTGAGTGTGAGTGAGTGTGAGTGAGTGAGTGTGAGTGAGTGAGTGTGAGTGAGCGCGAGTGAGTGTGAGTGAGTGAGTGTGAGTGAGTGAGTGTGAGTGAGTGTGAGTGAGTGAGTGTGAGCGAGTGTGAGTGAGTGAGTGTGAGTGAGTGAGTGTGAGTGAGCGTGAGTGAGTGAGTGTGAGTGAGTGTGAGTGAGTGTGAGTGAGTGTGAGTGAGTGAGTGAGAGTGAGTGAGTGAGTGTGAGCGAGTGAGTGAGTGAGTGAGTGAGACAGTGATGAGGAGGGAGGGCGGGAGGAGGAGGAGAAGGAGAAGGAGACGCGGCGCGCGAACGACGAGCGGTAAAAGTAAGAACCCCACACATAGATGTGGGGAAAAATCAGAACCAGAAGCGGCCAATAATGCGGGTTTGTTGCCTTGACACGTGCAGCAAAGGGGCCTCAGCTGCGGTGGCCTGCTAAGCGTGCCAAAAGTTCTGGCAATCAGGCTGGTGGGGCGTTTGGGAACGGCAGGGCAGGCCCAGGGCAAGGCGGGAAGGCGCCGGGAGAGCAAGCCCTTACAGTGAACAGCGGGCAACTCAGTTTTCCTCCCGTTCGGCCCGCGAGAAACTGTTCCAATCCAAGCCGGGCTGCGCAAAAAAAAACAACCCACTGACCGTCAGTAAGTTGTTTTTTTTCGCGCTGCTGGCGCAGCCAGGCTGCAACAGGGTGCTCGAGCTGGTGAGACAGATTGATGCTCGGACAGGCAGCTAGTCCAGCAAAGTTTACGGGTTCAATTCCCCTTGCTGCCGCTTTTGGAACGGGATCCCGTGGCGGTGCTGTTGTCTGCGCCAAAGCCGAGCAGCCCAAAAAAATCAAGATCACTGACCGCTCGTGGGCCGTTTTTTTTGCTTGCCAAATTTCAGCAGTGTTTCGTGTGTTGCGAGCACTGCGGAAGCAAAAATCGAAGTACTGCGCCTGCCACGACTTCAGCACTTGCATCTCCAAAGTGCTGCGCCTGCCACGCGAGATGGGGGCCCACAGCCGCGCGCGCGACAACACCCCAGCCCTTTAGACAGCTCCCAAAGGCTGCCCCTGCCACGCAAACGCAAGCCCAGGTGCACGAAGTACTGCGCCTGCCACGATTTCACGCTTGCATTTCCAAAGTGCTGCGAGTGCCACGCAAGATGCAGGAAGGTTGAAAACCGAACCGGAAACCGGTTAACCGAACCGGTTTTCAAAACCGCAAGAAAACCGGAAACAAACCATAAACAAAACCGAACCGAACCGAACAGAAACCGAACCGTCCCCAGGTTTGCAGCAAGCGTCGGCTTGCGTTCAGGTGCATGCCTTTGTTTTTTTTTAATGCGTGTCAGGTAATTTTCATTTCATCCTTGAGATTGGAGTTGCAAGTGGGAAGGATATGCAGACGCAGTACTTCGTGCACCTGGGCTTGCGTTTAGGTGCATGCCTATGTTTTTTAAACTGTGCCAGGCAATTTTCATCCTTGAGATTGGAGTTGCAAGTGGGAAGGATATGGCATCAATCATATTTTGCGCTTGCCGCAGCCATTTGATTGAGAGATTCGCTCATGTTTCAAATTCTGCATTCAGCCCGACAGGCGTTCTTATTCAGGGCTTGCAGCATGTATCAAGTTTAGTTTGGAAATTTGAAATCAGCAAAAGGAACAGGACGTAAGTTTTCCTTAGCCGAAGATGCCGGTTGAGAGCCATCGTGGCGCATGGCGAGCATCTGTGCGGAAGGACGGCCGCCGCGTGCGAGGTCCAGTGCGACGTTTGCGGGCAGAGGCAGATATTGATTTGTCTCAATTGCAGAACGCGTGCAGCGAGGGGCTAGCAGCATTGGTAGCAGCACACGCAGCTACACTGGAAAGCCTCTGGACGCAACGCGCTTCTCTTCCAGGCTGAGTGGACGCCGGGCAAGCGCGTCCGCGCAGTGAGAGACAACATGCCATCCGCGGCCAAGAAGTCCAGCACTTGGCACAGCCCGTAGCTTTCTGTTTCTCGTCTTTTTTGTTTCATCGCATACGGCCTACTCCCAAACCAACTACGCGACCCAGGAAGGGAAGGTAGTGGTATCGGAGTAGCCGCGAGATAGTGTTGATGTTCGCATCTTTTTGGGAAGGCTCAGCGCACGCCATCGTCTGCCCCACAAAAAGCCAGCTATGCACTGAGCCATCGACATTTAGCTAGCCAAGCGCGTACACATGCACAAAGCAAAAGCATGCTGCCGTAGCCATCTTGCGTTAGCTGGAAAACGAAATGCGTTGATGAGTTCCTCAATGGCTATGTCGCCCAGTTGGACTGGCAGCCGGTTGCGGGAGATGCTCATCGGCTGGAACGAAAGCCAGCTGACGTGGTTAAAAGAACAGGGCGAGCTGACCGCGCGCGCTTGGCTGAAGCGCGGCCAACGGGCTCAACCCGACCTGGGAGTGGTTCCCCTGGCTCCTTGGAGTGGTCCGAACTCCCAGATGGGTGGCGAGTCACTGTTTGCTGTCGCTCCTGTGAGTACAGAATGTCGGCCAAAGTGCGCCCTTGGTGGGAGTCACATAGACACCTCAAGCTTTGTGGCTGGACACTTTCGAGCGATGCTTATTGGTATTGCCGCGATCACACGCAGCTGCAAGCGTGACTTTCGAAGACAGGCTGCTTGCGCGCGACCCACTATTGGGGAGGTGCTTTTACCAGAAGAGCTTGGCGCATGCAAAAAAAAGGCATCTGGCTGCTGACTGACTGTCTATGTCAGGTTGCTTTTACAACCTGCGATCCTCAATCGATGTAAGTGTGGCGCATCTTCATAAGCATAGACATGTGGGGTTATCCGGTCCTTTATTTTTTGTTTTTTGCTTGGAAATGCCAACGAACAAGTATGGTTGATGGCTTTTCACGGGCAGTTTAGGTCGGGAACATGCCGGGCGTGTGGTGCAGGTTTAGCGGTTTCCTGAGGTCATTTTGTACCACCGGCCAACATGGAACCAACAAGAAAGCACCATTTGTAGAGGAAACTCCTTTTGGGGGGCCGCCCTTTTGTGTTCCATGTCAATTTGCCCGTGTTTTTGTTGGCGCAGGAATTGCCTTGTTAGAGACTATCGCATTAAATTGGACGTGTGTGGAAACACATCCATTCTCGGATATTCTCGGACGTTTCCGCTTGGGATGCAAAGCTTTTCCCAAAGCAATGCGTCAAATGCTTCTTTTGAGTTTGAAGGAGCATTATGGAGCCAAGCTATGTTCGGTTTGGTTCGTTTTTCATATGCCAGCATGTCTCAATTTCTTAAACGATGCCTGGTACTGGAGAAGGGGCTTTGGGTTTTCTACGCAGGGTTTTTGGAGATTCCCAGGGAGGTCTGTGGACTCTCTGAGGGGCCAAATGATCAGTTAGCATTTTGCGTGGACCTACCCTTGCAGAGTTTGAATTTGAAAGCAGATGCCAAAAGACGAGTAGAAGAGCAACTGCGAAAGGAGGCGTGCCATTTTGGAGGGAATCTTTCAGTTTTGGTGCCAACACCATGAATCTGCCCGGATTATAAATCTGGGGTCTGGATGCTGATTTGTGCTCATTTTGTGGAACTACGATTGCGGGCTATCAAAAGCGAGCATGAGAGGAGGTCTGCACAAGCAGAGGGTGCTTGAGGAGAAAACCGCAGACAAAACGCCACGCATCCAAACCTTTTTGCAGAGAGTGTTCAAGTTTCAAAAGCAACAAACCAGAAGGTCAATGTTGATCATCGTTCGGCACCAGTTGGGAGCAAGCCACTACAGTACAGCATTGAGGATTCTGGTCTAGATTTTCTAGACCCCGTTTGATTTACTGCCAAATTTTGTTGAATGCTTTGTGGACATTGACTTGCCTTTTCAGCGGGTTAGTCGAAATCGGTCATGTTGGTTCTGGAGATCTGGCGTTCTGTTTTGGCTGGGGCGGTTGCCGCCCGTGCTTTGGTTCCCATTTTCCCTCAAGACACCATCCAAGCAGATCACAAATCTAAGCTTCTTGCTTGGCTTGCGCATTTTATGTTCATTTGGGAAGGACAAGGGAATCACCAAGTTCCCCCACAACTCGTGACTCACTAAATCATCCATGTCCACTTGGGCAAGAGCTTTGACCATGGCTCATTCGGCTGAAGGCCTCGGCGCCGCGCCAAGCCCCCTTCTTGTTGGAGCTCATGGTGCGATGGGCGGCGGAGGCGCGGGATCCGGGACGAGCTCGCTTGAAGCGTTTTTCCCCGTTAAACTAGGGGCAGACCCCAAAAAATGGTTCGGCTTCTGTTGAAAAAATCCAAATGACTGTGAAGAAGAGACATAGAGAACGGTTAGTGTGTGAATGGAGTGATGGAATTATAAAGGCATAGCGAAGGAAGAATAGAAACATTGGACGGCTGCTAGCTTTTGTTTGAAGCATTGGCAAACAGAAAAGAGTCTTTGAATTATTCAATCCTGGAAATTGCTGACATTTAATCGAACAAACAAGTTCATGCTGCGTATTACTTCTGTGGTTGTGTTTGCAAGCGTGTGAATGTACCAGGAGGAGTTCTACTAGAAAGTGTAACGCATGGTGTCTAGATCGCGCGGTGCCACGGGGTGGGTCGCTAGTTTCGATTGCGCAAGTTCGCACAACAGTTCCTTCTGAAATTCTGAATCTTGATTTCGACAGCGCCGGCCCGCACCAAACAGTCTGCTAGGCGCCCGAATATGTAGCTAAGTTCATTGAACGTGGCAGGCGCAACAGATCCTGCAGATTTGGAGGTCCAAGACATAGTTTTCGTGACAGGTGCCGTATTGTGTGGACGCTCACCAACTCTGGCAGGCTTGGCTTGGTACAGTCTGAAAACATTCATTTTGCGAAATGCTCATATTGAATCCTTGAAAGCGCTCGATGTGTGAGGCTGCTGTCCTCTTTTTTCGGCTTCGTGCATTCTGCTGATTTCGCACGGCAGTTGCAGGAGTTCGGATGCCTGGATGCCTGAACTCATTGTTCGTGCCAGGCGAAATACTAAAATCTCTGATCAAACTCGCTCCTTGTGGCTTGCTCTCGTTGTGGCGCGGTGCTGATTCTGATATCGCTGGCGTCGTATCCAGAGATCTTGGGCAAAGATCCTGTAGAGATCCTCCCAAAGATAGCTTGTGCTGGTCCTTCATAGGGATCCTTTCAAGAGGTCTCTTTCGGGACCTTTCTTTCAAGAGATCTTGTAGAGGCAAATCTTGAATGGACTAGCTGTAGACGTTCCTCACACAGAGATCTTGTAAAGATCCTATCGCAGATATCCCGCGCTTGGTCCTTCATAGTTTAAACATGCGGTTCCCCGTGAAACGTGGCCAGCGTCCCGAGATCGGCGCAGGCTCGGCGATCTTCCCACCTCCGCCGTGGCCTCTCCTGGGCAGCGGCCGCGTGGCGTTCCAGGGCTTTGTGGCGGGCGCCTTTGGCAGCGCACCAGGGCCTCCCCGGGGCGTCCTGCGGGCGGCATGAGTCAAAATAGAGAATTTGGACCAACCCCCCTCCCAAACCCAGAAAAAAGAGAAACACACCGAAAACAAAAAAATGTGTTCCTGCTGGCTCACTCTTTCAACCAAGGTGACAAGGGGGCCTCTGAAAATATGTGCGCTGACAGAGCTCTGATTTGTCCAACATGGGTCGGCCTTTCAAGCTTCTGGATTTTTGGCCTAGTTTTAGTCAAGGTGGCTACGGGCCAACCTTTGATTACGAGGTCCTTTGGGGAATTGGGTAAGGTTTCCAACAATAAGGCAGCTCGCTTTGAACTTGCGTCGGCTGATGCTTGAAAATACCACAAGGAAAGTGGTGCCGCAAACCAAGTACATTGGTCTCTCGCCCTCTCCAGCTGAACAATACCACGTTTGGGGTCTCCTCAGCTATTTTGTCCAGGGCACAAACGACATGGACATGTTTGTTCAGAAAGGGCCCAATTCGGTGGTGATGCTGGCGTGCTTTGGGTGCAGGGTACGAGAAAGCCGCAAAGAAAGCGCAAAGCCGTAATGGCCGGAAGCACCTTTTTTCAGGGAACCTAGAAGGGTTCCGTTAAACGGGTTGGAGCTTGCGCAGAACAATCATGTGTGTAGCACCCTGGAACTCATTTGTTGGAACCACCTCACCGGGTTACGCAACTGTTGTTTTCGGATTCCCTTGCCTCGACGGTTTGTGTGACAGTCTTCCGCCATGCTTCAGGAGTTTATGCACAGCTGGGTGTCCTTGTGGCAGGGGAGGCAGGCATTCCTCCTTTCAGCTTGCCATGTTACACAGTTTTTCCTACGGCAAAGCCAAGCCCCAGGGATACGGCTGGCCCCAAACAACTCGCGAATACACCAGCCAAATTCATTGACAGTTTGGCTGGGTTCCCTACTTGCAACTATTGAGTTGCCCAAAGCTGACGTTTTAACCTTATTTCCAGATCCTTCAAGCAGGTGAGACTATTGGGGATCAACCACAGGGATGGAGAAAAAGGATTCGATGCTGAGGCATGGGAAAGTTGGAGCCGGCAGCCTTTGGTGCGCACCTTGGGCTGACTTATGATATCTTCCCCTCGCAAGTTGAAATGGAGCCCAAAAGGGAAAGATATTCCTTGTGGGTTTGTGCGCTTCACGTTAGCCACGCGGATCGCCCCTACCTTAAAAATAAATTGAGCGGGGGGGGGGGTTACGCCAATACATTAAGCCCCCCGAGCCCTACCCCCGCCGCCCCAAACACACCCTTCTCCCGCTCGCTGGGCTCGGGCGTGCGCTCCGTGCGCTCCGGCTCAGTTGGCTGTAACGCCAACAGTTCGGCCCCCAAAGTGCAAGGGCATAGCCAAGCAGATCGCGAGATGTGTGGTTGCGCACAGCAGCGCGCATCAGCGCGCAATATCGCGTAAAATCGCGCAATTAGAAGGAGTGTCTCGAAAGCAATGAAACCACCAGAAATCTGCCGCGCACATCTGCAATCTCCAGAATTCTGCATGACCCGGCGCGTAGGGTCCTGCGCCGGGGCTTGTGGACCTGCACGCTCAACTGCGGGACCCGGCGCGCCGGGCCCTTGTGACCCGGCAAGCTCAGATGCGTGGCACGGTTCCCCGGGCCGTCCGCTGCGTGAGCCCAACTTGAACATCCCGCCCAGCAGCGTTCAGCAAGGTTTCGGGCGCGGCTGATGCACTACACCCTAAATCAGGTTGAAGATGGTTGAAGCATGTTGGCACCGGCCAGCGCTTGGCGTTCTTTCAACTGATGCAAAAACAGGGAGAACAATTGCGGAAGCGCTGCGTCCGACCCCCGTTTCAGCCAAGTGACCTGAAGCCGTCTTTTTCACCCGCCAAGAGCAGGTTCCAGGACACTTGCAAAAACCCAAGGTAGACGAAGCACTGAGCTGACTGAGATGTGGCCCACGCGTTTGCGGCACATCTCTCTTTTATAGGATCTCCTGCAGCAGCTTGTTGAGAGCGCAGTAACGCCTCATGTCTCAAGTAGTTTGGCTTGCTTTCTACGAATTGGTAAACAGAGAGGAGGGCCAGCCCCTTGCCCTCTGTGGATCCCCATCTTGGGGCAGCGCGCGGTGGAGCAGCTGCAGGGTCGTAACTCCAAGAGGCAAATGTGCAATCAAGCGGCCTGGGGCCTTAAAAGCAGATTCCCGAATTTGCTTTTTCATCCAATTGCGGAACTGCAGCTTTCAGCATTGCGCACTTCCCCGAAACTGCCTATTTTCATTTAGTCTGCTTACCGCCACTGGCGGTAAGCAGACTAAACGCTCGGATCAAAGGATTTCAGCCCATATCCAGCCCTCGGATGGTTTAGTCTGCTTACCGCCATCGTCGGTACGCAGACTAAATGAAAAGAAGCAGTTTCGCAAAACTGCCTCTTTTGGTAAGTTGCAGCTCTGTGCATCATGACGCATCTAGTTCGCATATGTTCGCATTCTTTCTTAGCGTGGCAGAAGAGCAAAGAATGAAAGAGAAGGAGATGACTGGGTAAGAAAAGAGAATTGGTGAGAAAGAAGAAGGCAGGCAGTATATAGGGCGTGCTGCCCCAAGGAGGGAGCACACAGAGGGCAAGGAGCTGGCCCTCCTCCTTGTTTACCAATTCGCAGAAAGCAAGCCAAACTACTTGAGACATGAGGCGTTACTGCGCTCTCAACAAGCTGCTGCCGGCGATCCTATGAAAGAGAGATGTGCCGCAAACGCGTGGGCCACATCTCAGTCAGCTCAGTGCTTCGTCTACCTTGGGTTTTTGCAAGTGTCCTGGAACCTGCTCTTGGCGGGTGAAAAAGACGGCTTCAGGTCACTTGGCTGAAACGGGGGTCGGACGCAGCGCTTCCGCAATTGTTCTCCCTGTTTTTGCATCAGCTGAAAGAACGCCAAGCGCTGGCCGGAGCCAGCGTGCTCATTTAGTGTGTGTCAGCCGCGCCTGAAACCTTGCTGTGAACGTTGCTGGGTGGGATGTTTTGGGCGCACGCAGCGGACTGCCCGGGGCGCCGTGCCACGCATCTGAGGGAGCTTGCCGGTTCACAAGGCCCAGTGCGCCATTTCACCAGGCCCGGCGGTTGACAAGGCCCGGCGCGCCAGTTCACAAGGCCCAGCGCGCCATTTCACAAGGCCCGGCGTACCCGGCGCGCCGGGTCACGCAGTTGTGTGTGCTGGGTGACAAGGTCCAGCGAAGGACCCGGCACGCCGGGTCACGGTTGCGGCACGTCCGGTCCCGCAATTGAGCGTGCCGGGCCACAAGCCCGGTGTAGGAGGCAGTGTGCCCAGGGCCTTGAAAAAAATACCCCCCCCCCCCCCTACGTCCATTGAAAAATAAAATGCGCCCCCTTTCCTCTATGTCCCTGGCACTAAGGCAGGGGGGATCCACGCGGATTGTTGGTGCTTCAGGCTTCGACAGTTTTACGTCACAGTAAGGTTCAGTTTGGTGGGCGTCTAATGGGGAATCCGGATGTCTCGCAAAATGTTTCAGCTTACCCCCCTCAACCCGTGAGTTTCCAGTAGGGAGCCCTTTCAGGGTTCGCGTGGGTCTGGTTTCCCAAGAGCCATCCGGCCACGGGCTTCGATTGCTTTGGTCATGACAATTTTATTTGCTTGAATCACAGGTTCAAAAGCGTGCATGGAATCGGCTCGGGTGGCAGGACGGCAGCGTGACGCCCTGACCCGGGCACGGCGCTGGATGGTGGAGACGGCTTTTTGGCGGGTAAGCAAGATAAACAGAATGGGAAAAGCATATGCTTCGCGCACCCCAGAGTTGGGACAAGTTTGGGCAGCATGAAATATGCAAGGACAATCATGTGTGGAAGGGGGGAGGGGGGCCTTTGCGTTTTCCCAGGGGCGGCGATGGTAGATCTCAACATGTGTTGCCCAGAATGCCACCAACATTGGAGAATGTCTGACGTGGGAAAGACAGATGGTTGGAAAGTGTTA